TCTTATAAAATTTTCCTTTCAGTCTAAGCAGTACATTTCTATCACACAAAAGGCTCGAAGCATTTCTTCACTTCAACCAACCAACTTGAATTCTACTATTAACATCCCCATCTATATCACCATCGCTTTGAACAACAGACCTGAGATATCTAAATCCTTCACACCTTTTAATAATTTGGTCACCCAAAGTTACACTTTTGTCACTACAGCTACTACTACTAAAATTACATTCCATGTATTCAGTTTTAGTTCTACTCAAACAAAGGTCACTAGATTCCAATGAAGACCTCCATAATTCAAGTTTTTGCTGGGCTTTTTCTCTCGTCTTATCCACGAGAAGGATACCATCAGCAAAAAACATACACCAAGGTACATCCTCTTATAAATGTCCAGTAAGACCATCCATAACTAAAGCAAAAAGATATGGGCTTAAAGCTGATCCTTGATGTAATCCAACATAAATAGGAAAATATTAGGTCAATCCTCCTTTAGTTCAAACACAACTAACAGCTCTAGTATACATATTTTTAATTACATGAATATAAGTCATATCAACACATCTCCAAAGGATATCTCTTGGAAACTTATCATAAGCTTTTTCTAAATAAATAAAAATCAAATGTAAAATCTCCTTATTATCTCTAAACTTCTCCATCAAACCTCTCAATAAATGTATAACTTCCATAGTTGACCTACCCGACATAAATCCAAATTGGGTTTGTGAAATCTTTGTAATGCATCTTAACTTATGTTCAATTACCCTCTCCCATAATATGACACATCAACTTAATTCGTTTATCATTTGCACACTCTTGTGTATCTCCTTTATTCTTAAAAATGGGGACCAAAATACTCTTCCTCCACTCCTCAGACATCTTTTTAGTTTTTAAAATAATATTAAAGAGTTTAGTAAGCCAAAAAAATCAAAATCTCCTAAATACTTCCATATTTCAATTATGATATCATCAGATCCTACAGACTTCCCACCCTTGATTTTCTTTAAAGCCTTATTTTCTTTAAAACCTCCTCAATTTCATTTTTACTAATGTGTAGGTAAAAATAAAACGTTTTATTATTAATAACCATAATAAGATTACTAAGATCGATAGTATTTTCAGAAACTTCATTAAAAAGTTTATCAAAATAACTCATCCACATATGTTGAATATCTTTTTCTAAGAAAAACACTTTTTGATTTTCATCTTTATTACACTTTACTTGAGTTAAATCTTTGCTTTTCTTTTCTCTTTGTTTAGCTAGTTTAGACATATATTTCTCACCCTCCTTAGTATCTAATCTATTATAAAGATCATTAAAACTATCTTTTCTTGCACATTATTATTCCACCACAAACTATTTTTATTTAAAGAAACTTATTCTTTTGATTCTTCAAGTACATTTTTTTTACTTGTTTAATAGTGTTTGTTACTTTATCCCACATATCATTTGCTTCATCATGAAAATCCCAAATTTTGAAATCTTGAATTTTACTCATAAAAATAATTTTATTGTGTTTTTAGGTTCTAACATCTAATTCTACGATAATGAGTCATACTATTGTTTATTTTACAACTCTTCATCTTCAAATCTAGAACTAATAAACGATGTTGGTTACTTAAATCCTCACTTGGAATGAGCTTACAATCTTTAAAAACTCGACGATCTCTTCTTCTCAAAAGAAAATAATCAATTTGTGTTTTATTAGATCCATTCTTATAAGTAATAAGATACTCATCTCTTTTCTTGAATAAATTATTAATAATAACAAAGTTATATGCTAAATCAAAATCTAAAATAGCTCTACCTTCTTCATTAGTCACTCCAAAATTGTAGCCACCATGTATATTTCTAAAATCTTCTACCACTCTACCGACATGTCCATTTAAATCT